TATTACTCCTTAGGACACATTATGATAATTAAAGGAAAAACTGGAATGCATATCTATCACAGAATTTATTACTTAACTACTTCCTTACTTTTTATAATGTCACCAGTTATGCCTGTGCATTTTGTCTGGTATCTTTTCATCTCTGGTGCTTGTGTATAAGAGAGAGAGAGAGAGAGAGTGAGTGAGTGAGTGAGAGAGAGAGAGAGAGAGAGAGAGAGAGAGAGAGAGAGAGAGAGAGAGAGAGAGAGAGAGAGAGAGAGAGAGTGAGTGTGTGTGTGTGTGTGTGTGTGTGTGTGTGTGTGTGTGTGTGTGAGTGAGTGAGTGAGTGAGTGAGTGAGTGAGTGAGTGAGTGAGTGTGAGTGAGTGAGTGAGTGAGTGAGTGAGTGTGTGTGTGTGTGTGTGTGTGTGTGTGTGTGTGTGTGTGTGTGTGTGTGTGAGTGTGAGTGTGAGTGTGTGTGTGTGTGTGTGTGTGTGTGTGTGTGAGTGAGTGAGTGAGTGAGTGAGTGAGTGTGAGTGAGTGAGTGAGTGTGTGTGTGTGTGTGTGTGTGTGTGTGTGTGTGTGTGTGTGTGTGTGTGTGTGAGTGTGAGTGTGAGTGTGAGTGTGTGTGTGTGTGTGTGTGTGTGTGTGTGTGTGTGTGTGTGTGAGTGTGAGTGTGAGTGTGAGTGTGAGTGTGTGTGTGTGTGTGTGTGTGTGTGAGTGTGTGTGTGTGTGTGTGTGTGTGTGTGTGTGTGTGTGTGTGTGTGTGTGTGTGTGAGTGTGAGTGTGTGTGTGAGTGTGTGTGTGAGTGTGAGTGTGAGTGTGTGTGTGAGTGTGTGTGTGAGTGAGAGATTGTGTTTGCATGTGTACATGTCTAAGCATGTATGAAGGTATAGGCACATCAGTAACTGGAAAAACATTTTTTTTTTCCAACTCGTCACACAATTCATCATTCAAGATTCTTTTAGTAACTGTCTTTCAATTCAATCATATTTCTTGTATTTAGATTAGAATGTCAAATTTTTATCAAATCCTGCAATGTGAAGATTCTTCTAACTCATGCATCAAAATGAAATTGTACTTAATTACTTTATAATGACATAAACAATATTTTAGGCTGTATTAAGTATAAAAAAAATAAATACAATAATGATTGTTTTGTTCATAATAATCATCTATTATCTACTATTATCACTATCATTTTTATATCATAATTATACGAACAAAATAGTAAAAGTAATATTAGTGGCAGAAGTCAAAGCAGCTGCAGTAGTAGTAGTAGTAGTAGTAGTAGTAATTATTATAATTAATTATAATCATAGTATCTATAACTTATAATAATAATTATATCTATAACTATTATAGAAAATATAATTATAAGAATTATTATTAAAATTATTACAGTTATAATAAATAATTATCATAAATAATAATTATTAATCATATTAATCATAAAAATGATAAGGATAATGCTAATGATTGATAATGATAATAGCAACTATAATATGAACAAGAATAAGAATAAGGCCAATAACAGCAAAAGAGGGAAAAGCAGGAATTAAAAAACATATAAATGTCATATGAACATAAAAAGCAACCAACAAATGAAAAATATTTATTCAGAGGAACTTTCCACACCAGCAATAAATCTTATAATGTCAATGCATGAAGTGCTTTATTACTTGCAACAGCAGTACAAGACAGACTTCTGTCTTGCCACTGGTGCAACAGTTCTCCAGGAACCACCAATCAAGTCGCATCACACAGTGCGCAGACACTATGGGCCATTCCTCACAAGAAGAGATAAAGTGCAACTCGTCCCTTCCTCATCACAACCCTTTTGAAACCTTAATATATATGTAGAATATCGACCCCCCAAAACATTACACTTTCCTTTGTGGTTCCTATAGCCCCCTTCTTTTCCCTTTTCAGGGCTTTGATAATTCAAAATTCCAGTTTAAATTTTTACTCATTATTGAAATGGTTCAGTTATCATAAACACAAATTTTGGATTTTCTTTTACTCAGCAGTTAACATAAATAACACCACTTGGGATAAATAAAGATTAAAATAGCAGAAACAATATCTCCGGTAGTAATTAATAAAATGGAGTAGAAGTAGCAGTAGAAGTTGTAGTAATAGTAGTACTAATTGTACTAGTAATAGTAGTACTAACTGTAATAGTAATAGTAGTAATAGTAGTTTCAGCAATGGTAGTGGTAGTGATAATAATACTAATAGCAATAGCAGTAATAATAATGATATTGAATTACTAAATATAATAATAAGTGATAAAAATAATTTTAAAAATACAATATTTAAGTTTCTCCCATCAACACTGGTCTCAACCTAGGCCATCCTCTTCCAAGTGCTTATCCTCAAAAGGGAACATTACAAAATATATATATATATAAAGCATCTAAAGTGAGTCTTGTAAGTGAAAATGCATGCTGCCTTCTCCTCACAGTCACACATTCTACATTTCGTCATCCTCGTAGTTCAGCTCAGGGAAATCTCCCACTTCCACATTTGACGGGCGAGTGAAGCCACCATATTTGGGATTTGCTTCGAAGTAGCGTTTGCCGCCAATGCTGGAAATGGACAGAGGTAAATTATCAGTGTTATACATTTGGTATCTCTCTCTCTCTCTCTCTCTCTCTCTCTCTCTCTCTCTCTCTCTCTCTCTCTCTCTCTCTCTCTCTCTCTCTCTCTCTCTCTCTCTCTCTCTCTCTACAATCTCAGTGCACAGAATCTTGGGCTTTTCCGCTGCTACTGCTTACCTTCCATCATTCTTTCCCAAGGGCTCATCGTACTTGATGCCGACCCAAAAACCTGGCTTGAAGTGCACTTCTCCAATGTACATCACTTCACCTCGCCGGGTCGGTTCACCTTGAACTTTGACCTGGAATTGGTTTGAGGTGTTAATACATTAACTTTAACAAAGATCATTATATTTTAAACTAGGATTCAATTTCATGCTTCACTAACTACATTAAAAATGTACAAAAATCTTTATTCCAATAAGAAAACAATAAAAACTATAACATAATACTGAAATGCAGATCCCAGATCAATTTCATAATGACCCTACTCTTATTCCAGTCATACAGAAACAAATATCACGTCTGGTGAAATCAAAGCCTGCAATATCTAGTTTCGTGTCTTGTCCATCTACGTCTCCTTCCTCACTTCACATAATGGCTCATGGAAGCTAATCCTCTCACCTCACACCGGTCGCCGACGTTGAATGTGCTGGCTTTATCTTCCTCGGCCTTTTCTGCAGCTTCTTTCTCTGCTTGTATTCTGGCTTGCTCCTCCTCATTGTATTTTCCCAGTTTGTTCTTCTGCAGGAAAGCTTTCACACTATCTGTAGATGTAAATAATAATTGCTTTATTCAAATATTATACATTTCAAGATTTATACCTTGATAACACACAAAGTATCCTCCCACAAATAATTTTCATACAACATCTTATCAGAATTTTCCTAAAACAAATTATCTTTCCTTTTCTTCTTTTGTCCCTTTCTTGCTTTGTAAGAAAAATTAACATGACTGTACCTTTCTTCCAAACTAAATAGTAAAATCAATTAACTATTTTGAAAGAAAGAGGAACTGTGATCATCAATGTAATAACATGTCTAATGACATGTAATATGAATAAAATCACATTTGTGCTGAAACAACATTCGTATTCACATCTTCCCTCCAATAACAATGAGTTTCTTCAAGGGACAAGGACTTACTAATGCCTTGAATTAGCCCAGCATTTCTGAGGGTTGAGAAACAGTACTTGACTAGAATAGGAGTACATTTAATAAAATGCATATTCAACCAAGGCAAACACATTCATCAAGATACAATGTGTGAAGAGGAAGTGCCCAAAATTTAAAGGAATAGCCTAGAACTGGTGCACTATTATGCATCCACAGTTGGCATAGGTTAATATTTATCCATTAATAAAATCAAATTGAAAATTTAGACCCGGATAATAAAAATAAACATGATTTTGTAAGCCCACAAAATTCGTCTGCTTCAAAAACGACCAGTGGCACCACCACTAGTCGCGTGACGTCATACCATGTATAGCCATTGTCCAACAACATGGCGGGCAACGAGGATTATAGCAGTTCCTGTGAAGTTGAAAGTGAAAGATCTATTGATTCTGTGTCTACGGAATCAATAGATCTTACTGGTGATGAACTAGAAGATAGGGAGCTGGAAGTAGGAGGAGAATTGGTGAAAGGATACCAATTTGAGCCATGTTATAGCGCCGAATCTGACGCCTCGTCTTCCTCCTTCATTAACCCATTCACGATGTTTAATTGTTTTCACACATAGATGGCTCCACTTGTATTTGTACTGCTTGTCTCGCCTGTTTCCCTTTTCTTTAATTTACGAAATTATTTTGCGTTATCTGATTTTGCTGTTCCTAATGTTTATACCATTATAGTAATTATAATTTTTATAATAAAAATAACCATCGATATTCATAGCACTAGTAAAAATTCATTTTCCCGCCAATTCAAGTAAAGGTGAAATCAGGTAAGGCAGAGCCATCTAGTGTAGAGAAATTTCATTAAAAAATATAAAAAATGAGCACAGCATTTTCCCCATTTTTTGTTCATTTTTACCCGGTGCGAATGGGTTAACTTTATGCGCATCCAATTCTCAAGTGCCTTCATCTTTCCTCTGTCGTTTGGTAGTTCCCTACCGGCTAAAATTGTCACCAGACAATGGAGGCGCCACCGGCAACATTTTGTAGCAGACGGATTTCAGGAGCAAAAATGCTAGATAAAAAGGGCTATAAAGTCTAGTGTTGTGAATGAATTTACAAAATGATGCCTTGGGATGTTTATTTAGATTATTTATTTTGCAAATAAATTAAAAAAAACACATTCTACTACCCTCTGGACTATTCCTTTAAAGAAATAGGATAAAATATAAAATACCTTTTCTTGATAATAACAAAAATAAAAACTAGAATTAAATTATTAATAACTATCACTGACGAATAGTGACTACAACGACTATGATAATGATGATATCCTTTCCAAATGATAAAGTATTTCTCAAACAAAGAATTCCAGTTTTGGAAGCAGTCAAGTCATTATTATGCAAACGATGCTCTGACTCTGCCCAACAGTCCTTTATCATATTCTAGTGGCACAGCATAGTTCCTTATCAATAAATCCTCAAGAGGCTCAACAATCTATCCTAGTTATTGATGCTCATGAAAGAATTCCTCACAAGTTCCAAACCTTATATTTACAATATGCCAACGCTAAGTCATCAGAGAAAAGTTCTAAGATTCTGTCATTCACTCTATTCTATGAACTGTTTACGTTGAAATTATACTCGTTTTTCAGACTGTTCTGTGTTACAACACATGGAGAAAATCAACTTATTATTCTTCATTTTCTTTACGTTTAAATCCCTGTACCCATGAACTGTATGCATGTTGACAAATGTAGAAAATTTATGAATGAGAATAAATATCTCCACAATTCAAGAAACTGGAAATACCAACTGGTGAGACACAAGGGCCAAACATATTCCTTAGCTAGTCTTGGTCTTGGATTGTGCTCAGCACCGATAACAGTGATGAAGATCCAGAGTATAGTGCTAAGCAAAGGAAAGGGAATGGCAGCTGCTCCATGATGATATATTGATCAAAGAAACAAAGGCTGCAACATCTAGAGTTGTGGAGAACTTGCAACAGTATGGATTGGTTACAAAACAACCTGAGCCACTTGGAGGTGGGAGTGCACTGAGTCTAAGACTCGAGATGAACAAAAATGGAAAGCTAATAATCAGGAGAGGTAATTAGATACCAGAAGTGAAGGAAGACGTGAGCAGAAGAGGATTATTTTCCATGTGCGGAAATTTGGTGGGTCACTGTCCCATTGCATGATGCGGCCTGCGGTTATGTGAAGAGGAGAGCAGAGGGTGTGAGACGGGAAGACAAGGTCAGAGAGGAAACTATCAAGATGATGCAAGATAAGGTAAGGAAAGTTGTGAAGATCCAGTTAGAGGGAGGTGAAATGCGCCCAAGTCAGAGAAGGGAGTCAATTGGTGTGACACAAGCAGCAATGCCACTGGAATGATATTGGAGAATGGAAATGAAACTGTTGAGGATGGAGTATGGTTAAGGAAAAAAAGATGACTATATACACATCAATGTAGCAGAGTTGACTCTGTGTCAACTCTGTATTAACCTCTTGGATCTGGATGAAATGACCATAACCTCATGAAAAAACCGGGTTGAGGGGCAGGTGACATGAACATGCCATCACAGGAAAGTCTGGCAGTAGGCCAGGTGATGCGAACCTGACGTCATGTGCATTTCTGCTGAAGTCCAGGGTGGTGGAAAAGACTCGTCATGAGTGAACATATCTATTGGGAGGTTTATTTCCCTCATTTTTGTGATTTTGCATTGCTCCCATCAATGGACGAGTGTGGAATGTAATGATAACTATATATAATTAAAGTTATAAAATTAATATATTAGTAATTGTTATGCCAATAAATATAGCTACAAAGATTAAAGTAGACAATCAAATTGTAAATGGATACGATTTTTGAAAATTGCATTAAAATTTTTAATAAACAATAATAATAAATAATAATAATAATGATAATAATAATGATGATAATATTAATAATAATAATAATAATAATAATAATAATAATAATAATAATAGTAATAGTAATAGTAATAGTAATAGTAATAGTAATAGTAATAGTAATAGTGATAATGATAATGATAATGATAATGATAATGATAATGATAATGATAATGATAATGATCATCATCATCATCATCATCATCATCATCATCATCATCATCATCATCATCATCATCATCATCATTATCATTATCATTCATTATCATCATCATCATCATCATCATCATCATCATCATCATAATGGAAAAAACAAATTAAAAAAAAATAATAATAATAAATAAATAAAAAAGAAAATATATACATATATTAATAATAATAATAATAATAATAATAATAATAATAATAATAATAATAATAATAATAATAATAATAATAATAATAATAATAATAATAATAATCATAATAATAATCATAATAATAATCATAATAATAATCATAATAATAACAATAATAATAATAATAATAATAACAATAATAATAATAGTATAATAATAACAATAATAATAACAAAAAAAATATGGATGATAATTTATAATGTATTAACATTTAGCTTTTAGCTTTCATAATTATCATCATAGTCACAATCATTATCATTCTCAAAATTGCCATTGTTATTATCATAATTGTTATCATCCTTATTGTTATCATCATTAACATTAGCATTAGTACCATTATTATAATCATTAGCATTATCATCACCATTATTACTCTTATTATCATCTCTATAACTTTGACAATTATTACCATAATCATCATTATGACAATAATAGAAAAAAAAAAAAATGTAGAACCCAATGCCCCTGAGCATATCACATACATACATACCATGCCCACTGTGAGTTTACTTTATCAACTGTTTTCACACATAGATGGCTACACTTGCACAAAGTCACCAATGAGCCAATTACGAGTACTGCCTGTCTTGCCTGTTTACCCTTTTCCTTGATTTACAAAAATGTTTTATGTTTTCCCACCAATTCAAGGAGAGGTGAAATCAGGTAAGGTCACACGGTCTCCTAATTGACTCCTTTGTGGCTACGCACTAGCAGAGCCATCTATGTGCAGAGACATTTCACAAAAGAATAAAAAATAAGCACAGCATTTTCCCAGTAGCACTGGGTTTAGTAAATATGTTATAGATCTGAGCTGAAGGGCAATTTCATTATTCAAGCAGGCTCCTCCTCACGTACAAATATAATGAAGAACTAACCATTACGCTTAGCATACTCTTCTTCCGACAGCTCAAACTTTTCCACCTTTGACACGTCTTCAAACTCTCCAACTTTCTTTGTGCTGTCTGTTACCTTTAAGGAGGAGTCAGTAATCAAAATAAACAAGTCTATGAAAGTCAAAAAACTTCTCAATAACGAGAAATAATCAGCAGAATATCCAAAACTTTTAGACTTTCTAATCTACATCAAGGAATAATTCAGTTTTATAGAGCATATACAAGTTACAGAGAAAGAGGTTTCCTTTGGAGGGTAGACTCACATGGATCCTGTAATTATCTTCGATGTTGAAAGAACCCAGAAGGGCATCGTTGTCGTTCAGGAAACAAATAAGCTTGTCGTCAGGGTCGTACACTTCCAAATTCATTGTCGCAGCTGACCCACCAGTGATGAGTTCCAGGCGACCCTGAGGAGTTGAATGTATAGGTTATTATCGTCTTACAACCCTATATAAAATTCCTGTCTAGTTTCCTAATGGTTAACTTTAATACTTTAGTTATCAAAATTAAAAGAAAAAAACAAAGTGAAATAGAACAAGAAATATACATAATCTAATTTTCTGTTATGCACTAGGCTCATTCTTACCTTCAGGTCCCCTATGGTTAGACTTCGATCATATCTCTTCTCTGCTGTAAAGCTGTTCACATTACTCGTAACTCGCACACTGACCAGTGGCGCAGTGATAATCTGGATCTCTTCTGACATGGCTAAAGGCTTTTCTGAAAAGAAAAAAAAAAATCAATACTTTAAATCCATACAGAACTCACAAACACCAAAAGTAAAATAAATAATAAAATATATTGTATATGCCTGAATAGTACTTGATACCTTGTCCTTAAAAGAACAACCTGAAAATCAATAAAAAGTTTGGCACAAAAGTTGTCATACTCATCTCCTAAACAGACATTAAAGATATTCCTCGTGACGGTTTAATGAAAATAATAGAGGGGAATAATTTCTTTTCTGGTTGTGGAGTCAGAATAAAAGTCATGGAGGTTAGAGTCTAAACCAATTATGGGGTCAGAGTCAGGAGTAATTATTTGATCACAGGTGATAGAGTCCATTCCGGTAAAACTGTGATGACCTTGACTCTCAATAAATGTATGTTATAATGCATTGAAATTACCAGTTTCATGGACACTAATTTGAATAACCTATTCCTTCTTCCAAGGATATAATGCAATATACTATGCAGATTTCTACAAAGTTTTCTATAAATCCAAAATACAACTTAGGTAATAATGGAATGAATGCCTTGTGTCTATATGCATGCAACTAACACAAAAAATATGTATAATTATGGATCAAACAATTGTAAGATCAAAGGGAGTCTCAAGATATTATCACAACTTTGTGGTCATGATGGAGACACTCCAGCTGTACCTAAAACCCTTTATTTTGGAAAAGAGGTTATTGACATGTAACCTTAGAAGTACTCAGAGTAGGTATTGAAGGTCAAGGCCCTGGTGATTCTCCTTCATTTACCAAATGTGGGGATACAATTGGACTGTCATTTGATATCTATTTCTACTATGCATTGGCTTCCTGTATTTTCCCCTAAAACAGCCTCAGGTACATGGAGCAAGAGTAAAAGTACCACTATAACAAAGAGGCAACAGTAAATCAGAACTAAGAACAAAAGGATATGGACATGGAAATAACAATTCACAAATATCTGGAGGGAAGGCAGATTCCTGAGCTGTTAATAACATTTGACAGAGCTTCAAGCTTACCATCTGCACAGAAATGAAACAACTGTATTGCAGATAGTTCTAAGATTGTGAGGGACATTATGACACTGCACACCCCAGAACAATACTGTAATATATAATAATAATTTACTATCATTAATGAGTCATTACCTTCCATACTCAGAATACATGACATCATAAAGTGAGGCAATGGAGTCAGAAGTCACTGAACTGCAGGAGTTCCACAAAATGAGGCACTGGAGAGAAATCCAGAGTCAGTAGTACCATAAGTGTTGGGAGTCCTGGTCAAAGGTGTGCACCAACTCTATAGCACTTGCTTATAGGTCCAAGTGGTCAGAAAGTCCATGACATCCAGTTTTGCAGAAGCTATCATTTAATTTTGTAATTATACATAGAATTTAACTTCAGCCTTTCACTCTAATCAACTCATTTTGCTACTTTACACTATGGCTTCACAGAAAGTGCTATCTGACTGCCAAGGGTAAAGTGTGGTCAAATGGAGCAAACAACTCTTTATCTACACCCTGCCTTCTAAGGCCATTTCTCTTCAGAAATTCTATGTCTACAAGTAGTTTTTATGTCTGGTAACTGTTCAAACAACATCAGAGCCAGTGGTCTCCAAGCTTCCCAGTCTCCAGCTAAGACCATTAAGCTTCCAGCGCACATTCTGACAAGAGTAGGCTTTGTAGGCCTTCCTGGTGATCTGTCATAAAATCAAGAACTTGTCCAAGTTCTATCTAATCAAAATATATGTGACAGAGGTTTGCTGTTCTTTGCCAGGGTGCCAAAGATATTGGAGGACATGACAATTACTTGACAGGATAGCACTATTAGGTTGGGCTTCAGATTGTAGGCTTTGTCACAGATCTGAGCAAGCTTCAGTTCTGAATATGGCAGAACAGACCAGCTACCTCTATAACATAATTATTCTCATATAATGAATATATAAAAAGGTCATTGATATAGATCTAGCTGTGCATTTTAGGGAAAGATCTACTGGATGCATACCAAAAATCCTTAATAAATCTAGGATTACATTTAAAAGCAAGTAATATACAATCAAATATTATTTTCGTGATTAGTTTTTAAGGGGGGGGGGGTAGGTGTAAAGAATAGGCAGCAAGCGATCTCAATGTCGTGTTTGCTCTATTGGGAAAATTTCTCTTAGTATCAAGTCCTGAAAAAAGATATCATTAATAGTCTGCTGACCAAATATTTAGGGATTCCCCTTTCTAATCATATAATTCTAAAGCACTTAAACAAGTCTTCTCCAATTTCTCATTCATAATCAAATGTCATTGGCTAATAATATGTCTAACAAATCTTTCTCACACATCCTTGAGTAAAAAAGAATTTGGAATCGTTATATAAGCTTTAGACCGCGAATAAAATCAATACACTGTAAGGTCAATGACCTATGACAGGGGCATGAAGCACTGACTCTTCCTAATTACCATATCACATACTTACAACTTCTCTTTTTCTATCAGTCATACTAATCCATAAAAAGCCCAAAAAAAAATCTGAAGCCTCACTACGTCTACAACCTTATTCTAAACTAAAAATCCAATCTCGTCTGCAAGAAATAAACTCAAAAGACAGTTCTTCAAATCCAAAAATTTTCTGGAGGCACTTGACTTGTCCCGAAAGTATTACCGATTCCTCCTTAGAGACCGAGAAACCGCCAATGTGAATAGAGAAATTTCTTTCCAAAACGTCACTGTTTTCATGTGACAATTGCGTGACATTTAAAATATGTCTTTTCATTGACATCATGATTGTGTCTTGTAAATCTACGCCTTTAATCCCAGATACAAAGAAAAAACAAAACAAAACAAAAAAAAACAATTGAGGCCCTGTTACAAAAATGTACCTTTAAAAATAAATATATAAATTCCAGCTGAAATATTTACGAAATAAAGGACAAAAAATAAATAAATAAATATCTCGAGCGTAAACTTCCACCCCGAGAAACTGTGTCGAAAAACGCCCCTCCGCCCGGATGACACTCGCCTGCCCTCTCTTCCCCGGACGGAAAATGAGCTCCCTCGCCCTTCCTCCACGTCCCTGAGCCTCACCTGTCCCTGTCCCTGGAGTGCAAGACCGATCTGAAGGGCCACGAGGGAGCGCCCGAGTCCACGTCCGTCTCCCGCGATGACTCACGCGAAACTGTTGACATTCGCTGCCAGGTAACGGGCGTGCACCTTCTAATTGCCGTTATTTCACGTAAACCAGGGGTAATATCACGATTCAAGGCCCGGTTGTTTGACACCTATATGCCCATTCGTATTTGGGAAGTGATTCTGGATCCATACAAGGCTTGTTTCGTGCCGTTGTTCCACGGGGTGTAAATACAAAAGATGACAACTCTTCCGAAAGCCAACACCCCGCGAGCGAAAGATTATGACATTTCCCGCTGTGCTTCGAGACATTTTTCTTTTTCCCTCACGCCCAGATACGCCTGGAATATTCTGGAATGAACCCGAATGTCGATCGCTTCTGGAAACACGCCATTCGAAATTTACAAAGCATAATTAATCTCTATTTCAAAAAGATTTAGACGTCCTAAGGTCTAAGATTAGCAAGCGTTACACCGAAAGAATTTGACAGAACTATAACTACACGCGTGAATTACCTTTTACTTGTCTTTTTTTGCGAGCTCATGACGGACGAAATATCAGGCTCATGCAGAAGCTGACACGAAAATGCGTAACGATTTTTACGGAAAGGAATGTGGACAGGCGGCCGCGTGTGCGTGTCTCTCTCTCACACGCTCTCTTTGTGTGTGTGTGTGTGTCTTTTACTAAATACGTATTTATTTGGCTGAAAAAAAAAACAATTGTCTATCTGGCTATTTGAATACTGCTTGGTCTATCTATCGAACTCCATATCTA